GCTTGTCAGGCCATCATGTCCCCATCCACTTCCAGAGCAAACGCATTAACTGTTTCTGATGGATTGGTTTCCCGATGTGATCGCTCATTCCCTGCTTCATATAATGCTCTATATCTCCTGGCATAACGTTCCCTGTAAGCGCAATGATGGGCATCTCTAGTTCCATTTGCCGTATCTGGCGTGTCGCCTGTACACCGTCCAGCACCGGCATGCCGATATCCATAAGAATGGTATTGTAGGATAAAGGCTGCTGCTTGACCAGTCGAACCGCCTCTGCTCCATCCCATGCTGTATCAATCCGCGCGAAGCCCATGTTCTGGAGAAGCTTGAGCATCATCATTTGGTTGACCAGGTTGTCCTCAACCAGGAGAACGTGTTTGTGAGGAGCAATGTCATGGATCTTTCGCTCGATATCACCGACGTCTTCAACGGGTGTCCCAGTCGTTCTAGCGGGCGGCGTCACGCTCACCCGACGCATCTTGGCCGTGACCCAGAAGACACTGCCCTTTCTCTCAGGATTGGGCCGGTATCCGACACTGCCGTCCATGAGTTCGGCCAAACTCTTGCAGATCGATAAGCCGAGGCCAGTTCCTTGATATCTCTTCGAACCAGACTCGGCGAAGCGTGTGAACGGTGTGAACAACGAGCCAATAGCATCTTCGGGAACACCAACTCCCGTATCCGCAACCTCGGTCCGGATGTTATATACATTGGGGTCCTCCGCATCTTCGGAGAAAGTGGTGTTAATCTTGACGTAGCCCTCCTCGGTGAACTTGACTGCATTGCTGATAAGATTCTGGAGGACCTGACGATACCGCAGCGGATCACCCTCGACCTGGGACGGAAAGTTGGGTGGGATGAAGCTGGTCAGTTTAACGCCGGGTTTCAAAGCGCCCTTGCAGTTACGCACGACCGCGTTTGTGATACTGTCGACACTGAAAGTATCGGGATGTAGAGTGAAAGACCCCGAGGACAACTTGGAATAGTCGAGGACGTCATTGATGACTTGGAGCAAGACGTTGGTCGAATCTTCGATGATAGAGGAATATTCGCGCTGCTGTTCGTTCATGTCCGTGGCCATCAGCGATGTGAGGGCTAAAAGCATGCCGTTCATGGGCGTGCGAATCTCATGACTCATGTTGGCAAGGAAATCAGTCTTCAACCTCGATGACTCTTCAAAGGCCGCGATCATGCGGGCTTCGGCTGCATTGCGTTCCGTCAAGTCGCGGGTGACCTTGGTGAAGCCAATATGGCGGCCCAAAGCGTACATAGGAGTGATCAAGACGTTGGCCCAAAACCTAGAACCATCCTTGCGGTACCGCCAGCCTTCGTCTTCCACTTTGCCCTCCCGAAGACATACCTCCAATTCTTTGCCGGGCTTATCCGCCATGCGATCCTCCAGGCTATAGAAGGTGGAAAAGTGAAGTCCGATGATTTCCTTGGCCGAGTACCCTTTCAGCAGGGCTGCTCCCGTGTTCCAAGTTACAATATGGCCATGTGTGTCGAGCATGAAGATGGCATAGTCCTTGACCGTGTCAAGCAAGACTTTGTAGGTCTCATTGGAGTAAGACCCATGGGATTTGGACACTGATTTAATCTGACGCTTGGAGATATCAAGTGCCTCCAGAACAATGTATAACAAATTAGAGTTTTCAAATATAGGGGTGATGCGAAGAGTATAGCAAGCGCTAGCATCATCTATACAGATTTTGTCGATCGACTGGACGTCCTGCGTCGTGATGGCGGCGCGCAATGCGCCAAACAGAATAGCAATATCTATGGCGGGCAGTATGCGTGGACAGACGTCACAGATGAACCGGCCGAGTAACAGCTCCCTCGATAGCCCGGCGAACGCCACGTGGGAATTAGATACCTCCACTACATGTAATGAAGGATCAAGAATGACGCTGGGAATGGGGGTGTAGCGATATATTCGACCTAGAGCCGCTGGAGATTGCTGCACATCGGTATCGGGCATGTTCTTTTCACGGGGATGCGGCTTGTCATGCTCGTGAGGAGATTGCTTCGACTCGACCTTGAGTTTCAGATGATTCACCTCGTCATCATCCTCATCATCCGGTGGTGTGGTTACCATGGAGAAGTTGACAGGTTGAGCTTGGGGCTTATTCTCGATATCGAGATGGAACAGGCGTTTATTGAGATCCATGGCCACCACATTTGGCAATGAAGATTGTTGCTTTACTCGATCTTGAGATGGTGGGGAAAGGGATCTTGCAACATCAGAACCAGTCAGGTAGGAATAGGGCATGGATATTTTGTAGGGAAATAGAGGACAGGAGAGAGAGGAGGAGGGAGAGGAGGGAGAAAGGGAAGGTAAAGAAAGGTAGAGAAAAGATGTAAGGGAAAAGGAAATATGGAAGAGTGATGAATCCGGAAGGGGGTCAAGGTAAGAAGAAGATAAGAAGAATAGAAGGAGAATGAACAAGACGTTTGACCTAGTAGGATTGGGGATGGGGATGGTATGGTATGGTTTTGGTGTGGCTTTTTCTGGTGTGGAGGAAAGGCAGAGAGAGAGAGGATAGGATGCGGTGGTGGTTTTACTTCACATTACCTTTACTGTATGGATGATGGTGTCAGATGGGCAGTGGGAGGCCCACCGGGATGGGACGAGGCGCACCATCGACGTCAACAGGGAGGGAGCAGAGGATGGGATGGACCAACCAGTGGACGGAAGGTTGGGCCGGTTGTCGCGGGGGAAAGACAAGCTGTGCTCTCACTGGCCACTGCGATCAGCCGCCAGCCCGTGGATCCTTTTAGCAGCAGCAAAAGAGGAGCCAGAGATGGATTGAAGAAGAATGGGAGAGGCTGACTTGAAACTGTAAATCAAAAACAATAATAAAATTATTAAAAATAAGAAAAAGCTGGGAAAATTGCCGTCTTTCTCCCCTTGTGCCTGCCTTTCCCGGGGGATGCGCCTCATTCTGCTCCTCCTCTTGTTTTCTAGTTTGTCCCCATCTGTTGGGGTTTAATTACGCCCTCCGCCATCTCCGGTAGAGACAGAACAGAGAAAGAGAGAGACAAGCAAGTCTAGAAGGTTTAGACAGGATGGAAAATTCTGCGCTCGTTCAAGATTCCGGTTTCAGGGTCTGGAATGCCTGGGTCTTGACCAAGGCAGCGCCCGCTCTTAGCTCTTTTTTCTACCACTAGGCGCCCATTGTTGGTGTACTTTTGTGTTTGTGATTTGCTTCTGAAGGGCTGACCTCATACCATCTGCCCGAATTGTAGATTTGAGGATGCAAAGATGTTTTTTTGGAAGCAGGAAGGAACCTGCGAGAATCTCAATCCGCAGCAGACCGCTAAACTAGTACTTACAATCTACTATTAGTAGGCATTTCAATAGATACTACTCCGTATACACGGACGACTTCCGGCTGGAGAAATTCCCCTTGCAGTGTGGCGTCTGGCAAGTAGAGAAGGAAAGTAAATCGATAGTATGTCATCGGTCGGAAGATTGGAAAAGATTGATGAGTTACTTTGTATGTTCTGTAGTCTTAATTCATGTCTTAGTTAATTATCTATAGGTGGTTGACAAAAGGAATCGTGCAGAACTTCCATAACAGGAGAACTTATGATTTTAGTATCTAGGCAATCTCTTTCGACCTCACTAGTCCACTGATCATGCAACCCAGCCGGCGCCTTTTAATCTATGTCAGACTCACCTACACTCCCCGCTGCCTTTCGTTCGGCTTCAGTGGCTGCTGCACTGCATCGGGATCAGCGACCGGGAAGATCCGCCGATAGAAAAGCAGAAGAAGGCATTTTTAAAAGTACATCGTTTGCTTGACAGAGAACACAGGCTCGATGCATGCATGCATGCATATCGCGCACACACACGGTACGTGAGAGGGATCAGTCGCTATAGCAGGTTTCACCAAGCTTATCGTCCCCTAACCTGGATCTTGTTCCAAGGGACGAGTAGAACTTGCAATCCCGGGTCAAATCCCGCAGACATCCTACTACGGCACTTCGTAGTGGGTAATCAGTATGCTATTATTGTCCAGACTTAAAGACAATGAATGCTTTAGTTGGTGATCCAGAGGTGACACATGACCGACCCAGTTTTCTCCCATCCGCTACAAAAGGACTTGGATCAGGCTTCATGAGCTCGACAACGCACACTAACCGTACTAGTTCAATGCCATCATGTATACATTGCAGGCAGTTGTCATATTGCCAACATACCCTGATGTCATCATATGCCTATTAAGAAAAGTCACCCTGTGCGCCCGGTGGCAACAACAATAAGCAGTAAAAAACAGAGGCCTCCCACGGTTACTGATCTATACTATAATCTACACAGTACACAGTATATGGCCCTACGGGATTGTTACTGCCTCAGTCTAGACTCCACAAATTGTTCATTAAATCATTCCAAAACTCCCGAGCCGTTAATTTCCAAGAATTGGGGGCATGCTGGCACCCACTGCTCCAGTATTGAAGGGACGGTGAACAATGTCTGTGTTGCATGGACAAACCTCGGACCGAGAGACTTCCGTCTACAGAAAAGATCTCGGCTGTCCTCTTTGCCCAGTTAGTCTTCACTGCTCAGCATTGTACACAGAAGTGGATTGTGGTAGTACAGTGTTACAACTAAACGGGACATTGACATTGTCATGTCTTGCGTCAGACAAGGGGGCTTTATATATGCCTAATCATTGCCAATTCTCAACTGGAGCCTATGGTGGCGCAGAACTCAGCCAGGACCACCAGTTGCACATCCACAATGAGCAAATCTGACAATGGCGTTCATGCAAGCTGCATCGCTATCACACTCTGATCCTGATCAGATCATCCCCCCTATCTATGCTAAGAGTAGAATAGAGATAAAGTATGGGCGACCATCTGTCCCATCTCATAGGACCCAAGATCCGGGTGGCACTGGATAACCGCAATAGTTGGTGGAGAGGGAGTGGAGCCGGCGTGGCCGAATTCTTTGTGATTGTGCGAGAGATTGCCATCCCAGACGCCTGGAACCAGCCATGACGGACTTCGAGTCACCAAACAGACTTTTTCCCCTTTCTTTTTGGGCGGCGCGAGGGTACGTCAGTGCCTAGTGGGAAAGCCTGTCTTCTCACCGTCCCCTCGCTCGCCCCAGAAAGAACTCCAGCAGGGGAGTTTATCCCAACTTCATCCTCATCTTTATCGCCTCCAGGCATCCTATCCACCCAGGAGAGCCATTTGAACAGCCCATCTCCAGAATTACCGTCTCTGGCAAGCTAGGGTGCCTGTTAGTGTCGGGCCAGGCCGATGACAAGCTTGCTGGTCGTTGGTTGATTGCAGCGGCGCACTCCACCGTCTCTGCGGCCGATGCTCTCCGGACCAGCCAGAGCCCCTATCTGCTAATTATCCCACGCATCATCCGAGCCGGTCTCGCCGGGGTGCTGTTCCATCCCAGCTTCTAGACGCTTAGCTTGTCTCTCCCACCAGCGCATCCTTGATTAATCCGGGGATCCTTTAGAAGAGGAGAAGGAGGGGACGATGGGGCTGCAGGACACGATGACCGATGAAAAGAAGTCATCGACGATCCAGGTGGGCTAGACCCATATTTCCTTGTCATTCTACATACTATTCATGGTCTACTACTATCTACATCTTCACTATCTTGATCGTGACTGGTTTCATTTCAAATTGGCCCGACTGCTTGTCATCTTCCCCGGAATCCCTTCACGTGGTGTCCCCATCTACATCGTCCGATTCAACCCCCCCCACCTGCATCGTGCATTTACTTTTACGTGAGGCATCATCACATCTGACACATCCACCATCTACCGTTATTGGCTCTCATCTCTTCCCCAATTCTGCAATGCTGATGATCGTCTTCGTGATGTCTAGGAGCCGTCGTTGAATGGGACTAGCGATGCCTCCAGCATTCTGAGCGACACCCGCGCTCAGGATATACTCCCCTATGAAGCCGACGATTCCCCATTTCCTGAAGTGCGCGCGGTCGTCAAGCCGGTTGATGACCGGCAGCTCCCGGTTAATACTGTTCGCATGTGGGTGATTGGTATGGTTTTCACAATTGTATGTTCTCTCCCTCCGACCGTGATGCTGCTGCAACTTGGAGAAGTAAATCGCTCATCAGTCATAGGTCGGAAGTGGCTTGAACCAATTCTTTAGTCTGAGACAACCCAGTGTGACTATTAGTGCTCTCGTTGCCCAGCTCCTAGCATTTCCGGTCGGATGTGCGTGGGCGCAATGGGTGCCCCTGGGCTGGTTCAACCCGGACCGCCATTTCAACATCAAAGAGCATGCCCTGATCACAATTATGTCCAACGTCTCTTTCGGGTCGGCAGCTGCCACTCAAGTGATCGAGGCCATGGTTAAGTTCTACGATATGCCTTCTCATGGAGGATTCGAGATCTTATTGATGATTACTACGCAACTGTTTGGGTTTGGTCTGGCGGGGATGGCCGCACGCTGGCTCGTGGGTCCGGCCACTATGATCTGGCCGCAAGTCTTGTCGAACGCTGCTTTGCTTTCGACCCTGCATTCGCGCCAGAATTTGGTGGCAGATGGCTGGATAATTAGCCGACTTCGGTTCTTTATGATTGTATTTGTGGCTGGGGCAATCTGGTACTTCGCTCCAGGCTACCTCTTCACAGCACTGAGTACATTCAGTTTCATCTGCTGGATCGTACCGGACAATGTGGTGGTCAACCAGCTCTTTGGCCAAAAGACAGGGTTGGGCATGTCCTTGTTGACCTTCGACTGGGCTCAGGTTGTCTACGCCAACCAGAGTCCCCTGTTAGTCCCATTCTGGGCAGGCCTTAACGTTATCGGTTCGTTTGTGCTCTTCTACTGGATCATCTGCCCGATTATCTACTATACCAACACGTGGTATTCGGCCTACCTTCCTCTGCTGAACCCAGATACGTTCGACAATACGGGAAAGCCATATAATACAAGTCGCGTAATGAACGCAGACGGAACATTCAATGTGGAGGCATACCGCAACTATTCGCCCATGTTTCTCCCGGCCGGGTATGCCATGACGTATGGCGTGGCCTTTGCGAATCTGACGGGCATCTTCGTCCACGTCGCACTATATCACGGGAAAGATCTAGTTGAGCAATGGAAGGGTAGGAACGCGAAAGATGTTCATGCCCGGATCATGGACACCTATGAAAGTGTGCCATGGTGGTGGTTTGGCGGCATCACGGTTGTAATGTTTGCGCTGAGCATAGTGGCCAACGAGGTCTGGCGTACGGACCTCCCGGCGTGGGCGGTTCTTCTGGCATATTTGCTACCCATCATATACATCATCCCCGTTGGTATCATCAAAGCGATCACCAATATATCCAGCAACCAACTAAATTTGATCACCGAATTTATCGGTGGCTATGCTTTCCTAGGACGACCAGTCGCAAACATGGCGTTCAAGTTTTATGGCTATGCGGGCGTGTCGCAGGGACTCGAGTAAGTATCGGCATGGTCCGCAGGGAGATAAGAGTTGACAGATGTCTAGATTCGTGGCCGACATGAAGCTGGCGCACTATCTCCATATCGCGCCACGAACGCTGTTTGTCGCGCAGGGCATGGCCACATTGGTCGGTGCCGTTGTTCAATGCGGTGTGACTGTGTTCATGATCACTCGGATCCGTGGGGTCTGTACCCCTGAGGCTGAGGGAGGCTTTACCTGCCCTCATGGCCAGGTAACTTACTCGTCATCCTTGATCTGGGGTAAGTGTCGGCCCGACCACTAAACTTCGTGGCTTTTCCATTAAACTTTTGTCTAGGTGTTCTCGGTCCCGATCGAAACTTCAGTCCCGGCCAGATGTACGGGAATCTGCTTTGGTTCTTCCTTGTTGGACCCGCCGTCGTGGTGATCACATGGCTTCTGGGCCGACGGTGGAAGAAGGTCAACTACCTTTCTTGGCCCGTTGCATTTGGCGCCATGAGCCTCGTCCCTCCTGCGACGGGAATCAACTTTTCTTCCTGGTGGTTGGTCAATGTGATCTTCAATGGGGTTATCAAACGGCGCAAGCCTGCCTGGTGGTCAAAGTATAGTAAGTTGTTCTTGATCAGTCTCGCTCGCGGCCAGTCGCTAATGGAGTTGCTGTAGACTATGTGCTTTCTGCCGCACTCGACTCCGGGGTTGCCGTGTCCACCGTCATTATATTCTTCTGCATTATTTTACCAGCTGGGCCGTTGAAGTGGTGGGGCAACACCGTGTATCGGAATACAGCCGATGCACACGGTGTGCCATATAACAGACTTCCAGATTCGGGATATTTTGGACCTGCAAAGGGGACCTGGCAATAACAGATGAGGGCTTATGAGGCGTTTTGGTTGGATTCAATAACAACTGGATTTCGGGCGGCATATATTTTACCAATCATAAATCTAGAAATAATGTATTTATTAATTTTGATCCATTCCGCGATACAAAATAGTGTCTGAAGATTTCAGCGGAGGAAATGTAGGGGGCGGATGGGTAAACCGGCGTTCGCCCCGAGCCTTGGTTTGTCTCTGTGAGTCTTTCGTGTTAAAGCATCATAACCAGGGAAACCTAGAGGGGGAGGTGGGTTTAGGTTCAGGGATCGGGGGATTCGGGCGGCGGTGTAGATATCCTCCTAAGCAAACCGTCACTGCAATTGCCCGCATTGCAGTTTAACAAATGTGGTGCACCCATCAAAGTTTGAAGAAAGGGAGAGAGATAAAAGAGTCACTAGCAGGATTGATCGACCATTTGGGGCTGAGGGGATAAAGACTAATAAACCTTTTCCCTTCCCACCATTTCTCTCTTAACTAAAGACCAAGACCTTCTTCCCTCGGGTGGATACGCCCCTCTCCCCCCCCGGCAGCTCACTAAGACTAAAGACCGAGCTACGGCTGCAACTCCGTTCAAGTCGCCCAGTTCTTTTCCCATCAATCCAAATCCATCCATCTCATCCCCCACTCAATAATTCCTCCCCCCGGTATGGCCTGCGGTTCGAGCCGCCTTCCCTGGCCTCTTTCTCCGTCCCTTCCACCACCATGACCAACCGTGACCCCGAATTTCGGCATCAGCTGGGCAAATTCCGACTCGATCCCCTACCGATTCCTTCTCATCCTGCATCGCTTCCTCCTCCTCCTCCTCCTCCGCCGCGTCCGGCTCACCCCAGTTCCGTCCCTTCTCCGCAGTCGCTGCCGCCGCCTCCATCCGTGCCGCTTCAGCAGCAACAGCCACTCCCAACAGCACCACCGTCGCTCCCTCCGTCTCATCAGCAGCCCCAGTCTCAACCAACCCCGGCCTCATCGCGATCCTCCCCATCACAGATTCCTCATCCTCGCAGTAAACGAGTATCCACGGCGTGCGACTTTTGTCGGAAACGGAAGAAGAAATGTGACTTTCGCTACCCGAACTGCTCCGCGTGTACTCGCGCCGGTGTCCGCTGTACCATCCCTCCGCCGGGTCCCCAGGTCGCCGCGGCGTCTGTTCCTCGAGATCAGTTGGAAAACCTACAAAACCGGGTACGATGGCTGGAGGAGCTTTTGCGCCGCAAAACAGGCATCTCGGTCGCCGACCGGCCTACGGGGACTGCGCTGGATGGCGAGGGCGACCCGGACTGGTGGTACCAGGTACCAGCCTTGATGATGACTCGCGGGAGTTCAACACATTCAACACCCACAACGACGGCAACAGCGCTGTCCAGCAGCCCTGATCCTAGTTCCACTGCGGTAGGCACCGAGTTGCCTAATGTAGGTGAGTTGTTTCGCGACCAATTGGAGCATCGACGACCCTCCATCGCGCGTCCGGTAGCATCCGCTCCTCGTGTGATGCGGCTCGCCTCGCTTCCAGAGGCGCAATCAGTAGCATCACGATACTTTGATAGTCTGGGTTACCAATACCCTTTTCTCCATCGGGAGGAGTTTATGGCCCAGCTTGATCGCATCTATGCGGGGGAGGTCCCCGCACCGGAGGTTCATCACTCGTATCACATCACCATCGCTACGGCCTTGTTGATCGGATCTGCCGACGAGACACAGGCTGCCGAGTTCTACCATGTTAGCAATGAGACCATGGCACTGGCGTTACAAAACGAAGATCTGGCAGCTGTTCGAGCCCTTTTGAGCGTCGCTGTGTATACAATGTTTGCGACCACGGGCCCCAGTGTGTGGCACATCCTCGGGACTACTTTGCGTCTCGCCACAAGTCTCGGGCTGCATAAAGCCCGTCCAACGGGGAACGTGATAGAAGAGGAGATGGCCAAGCGGGCATTCTGGAGTCTCTACAACCTTGATCGACTAATCGCCAGCACTCTTGGAAGGCCACTTGGAATTGCAGATGAGGACATCTCCATCGGCTTGCCACGGGAATTCAATGACAATTGGACAGAGACCCCGGGGGCTAGTGCCATGACGATTCCTTTGCAGGTGGTGCGCCTGCGTCGGATTTTTTCGCGGATCTACCGCTACTGTA